AATGGTTCAATGGACCGTTTTACAGAGACAATCTATTAATTATGTCTGCTGCTGTTCATCTTGAGAGGCTGAAGATATGGTAACCAGATTTATAAAAACTCTAGGTGGGAGGCAAGAAGGTCTCCTGCCGACTCACCAAGAACCCCTTCCCTGGATTCTAATCACAGGGACTTCAGTAGCTGCCTGACTGCTGAGCAAGTGGTCGAGTGGCCAAACAGCATGTCTGGGAGGCCCTCTGAGAGCGGGCGAAGGAGCCACGGCCACGCACAGTGCCGCCACCCCCAGTGCCGCCACCCCTGCTGCAGGCCTGGTCCCCGCCCATGGGCAGCCTCAGGGTGTCAGGCAGCAGCCTCCGGACTTGGGCAGACCTGCGCGCAGGTCCTGATTCCACTTCACATCACAGTAGCTGATAGGTGTGATGCCTGAAGCAAGTCCCTGACTTGCTCAGGACTTCAGCTCCTTAGACTATGAAATGGGGATAATGTCTCCCTCAGGGTTAGCTGGGAGTTGCAGACAGTGTGTACCTGTGCCTCACAGAGTGCTGAGCACCCAGGGGCTTTCTGCAAATGTATCTGTTCCTACCGGGCAGAGAGAAACCTCATCAGGCACAGCTTACTCTTAAAAAAGATGGTGCCTCAGCCTTTAGCCTTGGTGACCTAAAAGGCCCTAGAAATCTCTTCCAGGCAGCTGCTGGCTAGAGAGGCAACAGTGGCTTAGAAGCGTTCTCAGGCTCTGCACACAAAAGCAAGATCCTTGGAAATGAACAGTGTGTTAATTTAGATATTTACCAATTTCAGGTTTTAGCCATGGGCTGAGGCCAGAACTTCTCTGTTTCCTGTACAGCTCTTTGGCTCTTTATACTTTAGTTGATATTTCACTCATCCTTTCCCATTCTTTCATTTATTAATCTGTGCATTCATCCTGTCACCCAGTAGCTATTTCCTGAACTTCTGGTAGGTGCCAGAGGCCACACAAGGCAGGAGGGATGCAGAGAAGTGTCCCCCATGGTCCCAGGACGGCAGAAGGCTGCAGACCAGTCTCCCCAACACCCCATGAGGCATCACCCGGGACCCACTGAGCCACACCTCTCAGCCATCCTCTCCTCCCAGCTTCTAGACACTCTGGACCTCCAGTGTCCTTAGAAAGAGTACACCCAGCACAAGCCTTGTCTGTGCTGACATCTGCGCCAGCGTCTGCAGTGAGAGCCTGCTGTAGGGAAGGGCGGGCCCGCACGTCTGAGCAGGCAGGCCCGCTGTGCAGCGTGCTGGCGCTTCCCATCCCATTTCAGGGCAGAAGCGCAGAAGAGCTGAGGAGTGAGTGGAAGTCCGCGTAACACAACACTGCTGTGTTTTATTTCTCCAGGTCAGATGTTCGCCAAGTCGCTTCATGTTTTATTTAGAAGGTTACAAGTTTTCAGAAACATTATCACTCAAAATCCATACTAATACATGTGCCAGACCAAACAGAACTGATTTTTGTACTATTTTCTATTTTAGCTTTTTTTTTTTTTGGCAGCAGGAGGTAGAGGATATTGTTTTTACTTTTACTGCAACTCCTAGTGAGATCAGATAATTGTGAGGAGAATATAATCTGGGTTATTTGTCCGTAATCAAGACATGAAATCGGGTGCATCCTTGAGCCATGAGATTCCACTGGGTCAGGCCAGGCGGGGTAATCATGGTGGGAGCAGAGGAGCACCAGTAATGATTGAGAACCTATGAGAGAAGTCAGTCTTCACTGTGGCCCTGCAAAGTAGTTGTTATAATCTCTCATTTTATATGTAAAGAAATAAAGCCTCAGAAAAGAGAAACAACTTGCCCAGCATCTCAGGTTACATAAGTGGCAGGGCCAGATTTGGCCTTAGTTCTGACTGACTCCAAAGTCTGTCCCTACCAAACCAATGTTGGTTTTGCTTCACTGATAGAAATTTTCTGCAAACTTAGCCCAAGCCTCTTGGGAAGGAAGAAGGGAAACAAGGAAGCAGCACCTGAGACAGTGCGGTGTCTGGTTTTCTAAGTGGACTAAGCCACATCACCCCCCTTCCCAAGTGGCCCACTCCCTGGTTGGGCAGACTAGCTGCTTAGGATAATACAGTGGATAATGTATATGCTTTTTGGACACAGGCTCTGGGAAATGTAGCCTGGTTTAGGCCAATTTGAGATGGCCATTCCAGCCATGCCTGTAGGCGGTGAGCAGAGGCTGGCAGGGTGGAGGCCCCGCTCACACAGCCTTCCATGTACTCAGCGCTGATGGCGCTTTGTGACTCCATGCAGGCTGGAGTGGGCCATGGCGGAGCGGGCAGGAGCTCTTTCCTGTCCATCTTGACTTGTTCCATCCATAACCACCTGAGATTCCACAGTATCTGGAGCAGGTACTTAAGCATTTCACCCAGGATTCTTCCATATAGGGATGGGGGACCTTTCTCCAAAGGGATTTGCTACACTGATTGAACTGTTTCCCCATATCCTCTCAGATTATTAGAAAAAATAACTGTGGAAATAAGTTGCCATGTCAATACCCTTTGAGTGGATTTGCTCACTAATTTCCATTTTTCCGGAAGAGTAAAAAAGAAAAAAAAAAAAAGTCATCTGTTTTAGCCAACTTTATTTTTAGAAAAGTATTTTATTCAAACATCCCCTTACTTATTACAGACATAAATACATGCATTCAGACAAATGAATCCACGAGAGAACAGTATAAAGTAATTGGCACATCACTTCAGCATGCTTTGTCAGTTACTGGAGGACTTTGGTGCCTCTAACTTTAATCTTTTCCATTAAAATATCCATTCTGCCTTCAGATTGTGAAACCTGTAATATTTTAGGCTGTCTCCGTGGATCTGTTAGTTTTGCTTGTCAATTTAATTTGTGGCTCTATGACTTTGGGTGGCTTGTTGGATTGTGTACAGAAACACATGATCTGCAAATGGTGTTCAACCTGCCAGCATAAGACCCAGCCTCTCCCCGGAGACACTGGACATAGAATAAATGTGTACTGGCAGCTTTCATTTGCAATCAGCCTGTTAGGGTGATGATGATGATGTGTGGAACAGAAGCTGTTTAAAGCTCATCAGTGTTGTTTTTATATATATACCTTAAATGGACTTACCTGGTGGCTCAGACAGTAAAGAATCCTCCTGCAATGCAGGAGACTTGGGTTCGATCCCTGGGTTGAGAAGATTCTCTGGAGGAGGGCATGGCAACCCATTCCAGTATTCTTGCCTGGAGAATCCCCATGGACAGAGGAGCCTGGCAGGCTACAGTCCATGGAGTCACAAAGAGTCAGACGTGACTGAGTGACTAAGCGTGCACACGCACACATACCTTAAATGTTTATAACACTTTTCACATTTTGCAGCACTTTTTATATCCACCATCTCTTTGGATCCTCACTTGATTCCCTGAGCTTCCTTGTACTGGATTATCATTTCCCTCTTTATGGGCAACGAAACTAAGACACACAGAGAGAGGTTCAGTGACTTGCCTGAGATCACAGGGTAAATTGGGTTGCAAAAAGGCCAGAGGACAAAGCCAGATGTCACTAAAGCCTAGTCAGGGGTGGTGTGTGTAGTAGACTTTGCCACGTAATTGCTGTTTTCCCCTGCCTTCCTTCAGGGAAAGGAGCTCTGAAGCAGTGAAACAGGAAGGACTGGAGATGAGGGGTATAGTGTCCAAGAAGCAGCAACTGTAGCATCCACTTCACATGGGTGACCAAAGCTTGCTTCATCGCTCTCTGCCGGGACTGTTGCAGCAGCCTCATCTCTGGCCTCCCTCCTGTACTTTCACCTGCACAGTCCATGTGTCCCAGAGGAAGCTTTCCTAAGTACAGATCTGAGCATGTCTCTCTTTAGGTGATTTTCCTAAATCACCAGATTTTCCATTGAGGTCTCCCAGCCTGCACTGGGGTCTTGCTTCTGGCCCACCTCTCTTCTCCCCACCACACTGCATTCCTTACCATTGCAAAACCCTCTGTGTTCTTGCCCAGTCTCCTTTTTTGCTGCTCTCTCTGCTTAGAACACATTTATGATGAACTCCATAACTGTGACCTTCTTTGTGGAGTCTTCCCTGATTCTCAAGGACCCAGAAGTATCTGTCTTTCCGCTGCTTACCCACAGCATCTTTGCCCAGCCCTGGTTCCTGTTATCTCTGCTGAGTAGTCTGTCCCAGGAAGCTTTTAGCTCCTCAAGGACAGAGGCTGTGGTAGATGTCTGTGTTCTCTTACCCGCTCCCAGGCATCTTGCAGACTTGGAATTTAAGAAAATGGATGAGTATGACATGCAGGAGTAGGACTTTCATGGTGGTTCAGTGGTTAAGACTTCACCTTCCAATGCAGAGAGTGTAGGTTCAATCCCTGGTGGGGGAGCTAAGATCCCTCATGCCTCGTGGCCTTAAAACCAAAACAGGAAACAAATAATATTATAACAAATTCAATAAAGATTTTTTAAAAAATAAGCCATGTAGGAGTGAAGCGAGTAAATGAATAAACTTAGTGTGTGAGGAACGAATGAAAAGATTTTTCACAGCCTGAGCCAGCAGGAAACATGACTTCCAGAGTGAGATGGGCTGGGTTCCCTTTCTCCCTCTGTCTGAGGGGGTCATGGAGAGATGTGGCCCCTCTATAACTTGACCGTGTCTTTGGTGAAATGAGAGCCTCAAAAGTGAGCTGAGCTTTTTGCCTGATGACCCAGTAGAGAGGAAAGCACAATCTGGGTTGAGAGGTAGGAACTGATCCCCTTGGACCTGTGGCCTCTGACTTCTCCCACCCAGAAGGTTCTCACCACACGTTTCAGTAGGGACAGCTCTTCCTCGGGAGCTGAGAGTCTTTGCCAAGAGTTCCCATAGGCAGCGGTATAGGCTTCCAGAGTCAAAGCTGTTTGTCCAGCAGGTGCCCTCATGGCTGATGGCCAGATGTGGTGGGTAGCAGGGGAGCACATAGAAGGCCTGAGGTTGGGGCAATCTCAAGCCAGGGCGCCAGTGTCATCATGTGACTCTGTCTTCTAGATGATGTCCGTCCTCATGAACACCATTGTCTTTGAAGACTGTCGGAACCAGTGGTCAGTATCCAGGCCTCTCCTAGGGCTCATCCTGCTCAATGAGAAGGTGAGTGTGGCTGCAGGAGGGTCCCCAGGAGGCAACTGCAGGAGGAAGGCGCAGCCAGACACCAGGCCAGGCTGTGACAGACGGGGGGCCAGCCGAGCGTGAGCGGGCAACTTGAGCGCCCGGGACAAGGCCGTATTCCCCCAGAAGGCCCTTCCTCGGGGGCCTCAGATCTCCTTCAGTTAAGTGGATGCCTCCAGCTAGCTTTTCTGGAACCCAGAGCCCCCACACTGGGCAGGTGGTTTGCTCAGCAGTGCTTCCAGCTCACCCCCACTCCCCTCCCTGCTCCAGGAGATGCTGGGCAACAATCCCTGTTGCCATTTCCTAGGCCTCCTTCCTGATGTGGGCTCTGCACCGCCCTCAATGGTAGCAGTCCCCCGAATACAGAGGCAGCACCCTTTATCCAGGTCACGAGTCTCCAGTCCTTAAGTGCACGCACCACTCTGGGCTGCCTCCCAAGTTCTCCAGCTTCCCCTTGAACCCACCCCTGTCCCCCCAGCAGTCAGTAGGAACAGTGCATTACTGCTGGGGAGAATGAATTGTCTATACAGTAAGAGAGTACTGGGGAGAAAGACAAGAGAGATTAGAGACAGCGCATACATTAAAATTCAAACTGAAATCCCAGCCTTGGAAGGAAACTAATAGAAGAAGAAAATATATCAAAAAGAGAAGAGCTGTCTCATCATTCACCTGTGCTGAAGTATCCAATTTTAGCCACATTCAATAGCACTGTCATTCATCTTCCCTCGGTGTTATTGTGATTTAAATCCAAGCTCTATAAAAGAGAGCAGTTCTTTTAAAATGATTGAGAGGGAATAAGGGCAAATTCAGTGTTTAGAAAAAGCTTATGACATCACAATATTATACTTTACTGATGGAGGCAATATTTCATGGTTTGGGATGAAAAACTAATAATTTTCTATTTGGTGTGAGTCACTGCATCATTATAAAAGGGAAAAATAAGTAGTTTTGTGCATTCCCAATCTTGTTCAGGAAGACATTGTGGTTTAAGTATAATGCCTCTGATATATAGTATTTAAGTATTAGTCTGACTACATATTAATTATGTGTGTTTTTCATGTGAGCTGTTTTAATGTATGATGAAAATTAAATATCATGCTGTTTGGGCCTGGAAGGATAAACACATGACTAGCAAAATGTCGTCTTTGTGCTGAAATTAGGCTGTTTCCAATGATTAGGAGCTGCTTTTAGCATGAGTGTGTGTGTGTAAAAGCCCACAGTCATCAGCAGAGAGAAAAGGGCTGTGCAGTTCTCTGTGACCAGGTGTGACAGGGATCTTTCTCAGTGTCCGACAGCTCACCCAGAACTAAGCGAGCCCCTGAGGTGCCGCCCTCAGCCGAACAGACCCTCCCTGACCCAGGCGTGCAGGGACTGGGGAACACAGAGCCTGGGGTGGTTTGAGAAGTAGTTCGCTAAAGTCACGGGGGGTGGGGGACGGAGAAGCAGGAGGCGGGACCCGGGGCCTGGCTAAGTCTGGCTAAGTCTGGCTAAGGGCTGCCCGAGTGCGCCTGGCTAAGTTCCTCCCTCACCCTAAGAGGCCATTCCTCTTTCAGCCTTCCTGTGAATGTTGAGGAGAGGAAGACCTTTATGTGCTCGATCGCCCACCCAGGAGGCGAGGGCTCCATCAGCCTAAATTGTTCTGTGACGATAAAACAATTATAGCAACAGATTTTATGAGAGAGGATAATAGAGTTTATACTCAGGAACGTCTCTATTGCTCTGGTTTTCTCTCAAGGCTTAATGTTCAAAGTGGACCTGGACCAAAGCCCCTTTGAGAGTTAGAGTGAGCCCGTCAGGGCTGGTCTAGCACCACCCCACCCCACCCCCCCCACCCCCCAGCTTTCTTCAGGCCCAGTTTGGAGCCAGACCTCTGACACTTGTTCTGTCTCCCAACAGTATTTCGGTGAACTGAGGGCAGGTCTGATAAGCAGCCAGCCTCTCCCCAAGCAGGAGGCCCTTGCCCAGTGCTTCAGGAGCCTGATGGAAGGAGTGGAGCAGAACCTGTCTGTCAAGAACAGGGACAAGTGAGTGACGCCCAGCAGTTCAGCGTCTCCGGGAGAGGATGTTCCATGGCTGCACTTCACAAAGCTCACGCACTGATGCAGTTTCCCGTTACACCTTGGAGCCCTCGGCTCACTTTAGTTCTATCCAGTATGGGTATTTGCTTTTTTCCAAGCAGCATGCTAGGCACTGTAGGATGCATGCATGCATCCGTGCCAAGTTGTGTCCAACTCTTTGCCACCCCATGGGCTGTAGCCCACCAGGCTCCTCTGTCCATGGGATTCTCCAGGCAAGAACACTGGAGTGGATTGCCATGCCCTCCTCCAGGGAATCTTCCCAACCCGGGGATTGAACTACATCTCCTGTGTCTCCTGCATTGCAGACAGATTCTTTACCACTGAGCCACTGGGGAATAAAGTGCAATTTTTGCCCTTAAGCATTTTATAATCCCACAGAAAAAATAACTTATTGAAAGGTTAAAAGAAAGAAAAAGTTAGAACTGCTATGAAGGACAAAGAAAGGCTTTCTGACATTTGAACAAACATGGACTTTGAGTGCAGACAGATTCCAATTTAAATTTTATTCCTTTATAAGCTGTGTGGCAGTGAGTAAGGCAGTCAACTCCACTGATCCTGTTTTCTCACAAGTAAAACAAAGATATGATAATTGGTTGTGACATTTAAGTAACAGAATATAGTAAACATGGTACCTAAGACATAGACTAAATAGTAAGTAAGTAAGTAGTTCCTTCCTCTGTCTGACCTTTAAATGTGGTTGGTTTTGCAAGAACAGAGACAGCTAAGTTGCCAGTGAGATCTTGATGAGGAACACAAATTTGTCACCTATGCTTGAATTCATTCATTCATTCATTTAGTTCACAAAATTTTGTTGAGAATCTGCTATGTGCCAGGCATCAGGGATACCAGTGGGGAACTAACTGTTCCAAGGTTTTTTTAACCTCATGGAGCTTCTAGTGGCAGAGACAGACAAAATTAATGATGGAGAGAAAAAATGTTTTCAGGGAAAAAAAAAAAACCACTTGCCCCATCGTTTGATAAAATGTTAGCATTCAAATGGTATGCCATTGAAATGAAAATTGTTAATTGCCCCATAGCCACAGGCCAAAACCTGGGCTTTGATAATACAAGGCCAAGTCAGATGGACTCTGTGGACATATTCCCTTCACTCCTTGTTCCCCACCAAGATCCTCTATCAGGCAAATAGGGGCAGCTTCCAGGCTAGGAGGAGAAGAGACTTAGTGAAGGAAGGGGAGGTGCCTTGCTAGGTGCCTCAAGGGGGAAATTGCTTTGCCCGAGGCTTGGGAGTTTGAGTACCACCTCCTGAGCAGCGCTGTGAGTCTCTTGTTTAGTGAGAGTACTAGCCAGAAAGGACGGGTGTCCTCCATGTGCCAGGCAGGATGCTGAGCACTTACAGGCACTGTCTCTCTTAACTCAGTAAATTCTTAATTCTCACAGTCCCATAAGGTAGCTATCACGTAGGGTACCAAGACTGAGGTTAAGTGTTCATCTGAGATCACCCAGTTAAGAAGTAGTAGCGTCAGGATCTGAACCCAGGTGGTTTTATCCAGTGCCCCCTCTTTTGGCAGCACTGAGTTTGGTTTTCTTATCTGCAAATAAGGATACTAACACTTGCTCTGGGGAAGACTTAACAATGATTAAATGAATTTATATGTAAACCCAACATAAGCTTTGGTTCTTTTCTTTATATTCATTATTATCTATGTGTAATTTGACTTTTAAAAATAATTCTTAAATGGTATAATCACAGAACGCACCCCTCAGAATGATTAGTGTCTTTGCTGATAACCCTTATTTTCTGGGAGGGGAAAGGGAGGAGCTATAGTGACTGTGAAATGAAAGAAGGGAGCTCCGCCAAGACCCTCTCCAGGGTCCTGAACTCTGCCTCCAGAGGGTCACACAGCTTCAGCCTAGCCACTGCCCTCAAGCCTTTCTTCCTCTTCCCACAGGTTCACCCAGAACCTCTCTGTCTTCAGAAGAGACGTGGCTGAGGCCCTGCGTAGCAATGGCAGCGCTGAGCCACTGGACATGATGAGCTGACTGGACTTCTGCCCGCGTGCCGAGAGGCCTTCATCCGGAGACTTGTGGGTCAGGGTCCCAGGACAGTGATGTTGGCTAGCCCAGGAGAATCTATTTTTCAAAACAAACAACAACAAAAACCCTACCTTTTTATAAGTCTGGCCTAAGTATAAGAATTTATAATAGTGCACAAACAATGTAAATTCAGTCTTTGCACTGAAAAAAGCAAAAGATGTGTTTTCAGTCTTTCTATATAAGATTATTACCTTTGTTCTCATAATTCTCTGAAAGGGTAGAAACAACGTTTAACCAAAGAACATAATAAACCAGGTTTGCGACTCAGTGTCTACTAGTTAATGGCTCTGCGATCAAGGGGGTGAATCTGTGAGAGATGCAGCCTTCAATGTGGATCCCGGATTGAGACAAATACCATTTGAACCTGTTAAATTAGTAGTTTGTTATTAGGCTCGTCTGGAAAAACAGTGTTGGAGCTCTGAGCTGTGGGCATTTCAGACGAGCCTGGGAGCTCTGTAACGCATCCCACAGGACTGCACACAGACCTCTCTGCCTCAGCAGCATCTGATAAAGTTGAGAGACAGTAACACAATTAAATGACTTACAAACAATGTTTGCTTTTCACTGGCATAAATCTGAAGTGGTTTAGTCTAGAAGAATTAAGCTGTGGAATTACTGCCTGCAGAGATATTTCTCCAGAAGGAGTAGGTAGCCCCAGCAAGTAGTTCTGGGCGCTGCTAGCACCCAGCCCTTCTGCCTCCATTTAATTTTTAAGAGAAGCAGAGGTATCCAATTAAAATGTAGATTCAAAGCCACTTGCCTTCTTGAGCCAACCAAAACGGTTCTAGATGCTAAACTATGGATTTTCAGAGGATGAGGATCAGCTGGTTTTCATCTTGCCACAAAAACTTTTTATGGTGGGGACTGCAACTCAACGCAAACCCAGGACAGGGAGAAGGCCTTTACCGTTTGTGATGCATGGTAACTAGGCTGTTGATTTGAGATTGTCACTGTCAGATGCCTTTGGTATCCCACTGCTCTGTCATCATGGTTCAGGCTTATAGTAAATATTATTCCCTTTATTTCTGCTAAAACATGAAAGGTTGGCCTTACTGTTGAAGAAGTAAATCCACAGGCTCCTTTTATAATCTCATTTCTCAGACTAGTTATTTCTTGACAATTTTCTTGATAGTTGAGTTTTATAACAGGCTTGTCACATAAAAGCAAAGTCACCCAAGTTTATATAAAAATTTGTCTTCCATATGTGAACTCAGGAAGTCAGGGAAAAGTGTGTTCTAGGTAGGGTTATTTCTGGTATCTAATGGAGAAGTAAGCCTCGGCCTTACACTGTGTTTCATTATCAGTAGGATAAATAATTTTCCCTGAGAAGGCAAATTCCGAACTTCATAAAACTTCAACTTTTAAAAAAAATCTGATTTGAGAATTTTTTCTTTCTTAGGGGCTAATTACTGCATACTACCCATCCCCAAAAAATCCTTCATAGAAAGCCTATCCCATTCTGGCACTTTTTTTTCTTTAAATGTTCAAGACCTGGGAGTTCCCTGGTAGCCTAGTTGTTAGGATCCTAGGCTTCCACTGCCATGGCCCAGGTTCAGTCCCTGGTCAGGGAGCTGTGATCCCACAAGCTGTGGGGCGTGGCCTAAATAAATAAATAATAAGCTGTTCCAAGACCTAAAAGCACCGTATTGTTTGCATTAAAATGCTCACAAGAAAATCACCGTGTGTGCTTGCTTTTCTTCACCACGTTGGCAGAGGCCGCCTGGTGCTCTCTCAGCAGCCAGGCCGGCTCCATCGTGGCCGTGGAGGCCTTCTCGGGCCCACCCACCCCACCCCAGCAGGGCCTGCTCCCAGCGCTGGGTGTGCAGAGCACACGTGGAGGCAGCACATGAGGCAGGGATGCTCAGCCAGGGGACCACGCTCTCAGCCCTCTCATCAGACGAGGAAACAGGCTCAGAGGTGGCACCCAGCTTACACAGGCAATATGTGATCCCAGGTCTGTGTCACCTCACAGGCATTCCTGAGGTCTCTTCCAAGACCTACATTTGAGAATGGTTAAGTTGAAACCAGTTAACGTTTACATCAATTTCCATGTTTTTCAGAACTCTATTGCTAGATAACAAATTACCCCAAAACACAGTGGCTTCTCCAGTGGTTCAAATGGGAAAGAAACTGCCTGCAATGCAGAAGACCCACGTTCGATCCCTGGGTAGGGAAGATCCCCTGGAGAAGGGAATGGCAACCCACTCCAGTATTCTTGCCTGGAGAATTCCATGGAAAGAGGAGCCTGACAGACGACAGTCCATACGGTGGCAGAGTCAGACACAGCTGAGCAACTAATGCTTTCACAGTGACTTAAACAGCACTGCTTATCTCACAGTTCCTTAGGATGCCCTGCCTCTGGGTCTCCCAGGCTGTGGTGGGTCTCATAGGCCTGGTTCACCACAAAGCTCGCTGGGAAGGACCTGCTTCCACACACCCTCGTGGCTGTGGGCAGGAGTCCGCCCCTCATGGGCTGGTGGACTGAGCCTCAGCTCCTAGCCAAATGGCCTCTCCATAGGGTGGCTCACAGCACGGCATCTTGCTTTACCAGAGCAAGGGAGAACACAGCACCCTGGAAGTCACAGCCTCTCATAACCTAACTGCAGAGGGGCACCCATCACTTCTGCATTCTCTTCACTGAAGTCCAATCACCAGGAGCAGACCACACCCAGGGGCAGGAGTTAAACACCTGCAGGGATCTTCCAGCCTCGACTCTTACCTGGCCTTTACTGGAGTGGTTGAGTTTGGCTAAAGGTTTCTTCCCCAGAAATCTCGAACAGAATCCTGATCTTCCTAGGAAGGCTAAGTTCCATTCTGTGCCCTTTCTGAGGGAGGAAAGGAGAGTGGGGAAGCTGGGATGTTTCCAGATATTTCCACACACACACTCCCCCAAGAACCCTGCCCTTCCCCCAGCCTTGCCAGAGTTGGCCTCGGTCAGGAATCATAGGGAGGACTCTTGAGGACACTTGGAGTTCCATGTGGGAGTTCTTCAGGGTCATCCCATCCCAAGGATGAAGCCAGCACTCAAGGGCACACCCCACCTTGCAGAACCCACACAAAAGAGAACCATTATAGTCGGATCTGTTAACCGCTCTAATCAGATCAGAGGTGTACCTAATTCACACTCAGCAACAGGAAAAAAAAATGACTCCAGCAGGTCCTCAGGGTCTACCATTCAACCATCCTCACCCAGGGTGAGGAGGCGAGGAAGACGTGGGCCACTGCTGGCATACCTCACCCTTGTGATGAGCTCCTAGGGGGCTAATATGTCTCATGAATGCAGTGTGGGCGCTAGGTCAAGCCAACAGCTTCAGCTGATAGTCAAGCAGGAAACAGTTTGAAGGTATCACGACTGCAAGGCTTTCACTTTCTACACCACCTTGAGAACCTGGCCCCTGAGAGCTGTATCCTGCTTGTGTTCTAGATGTTCCTGTCTTTCCTGCGCTTCCCCATCAGGCTTGTCTAGAACAGGGGGTGCGGGCGCTGCGCTGGTGATGGAGCAGCCAGAAACGCACTCTAGGCCCCCGCCCAGGCTCCGTTCCACTGGCCCTGCAACCTAGAAGTGCCTTTGCGTCATGGTGCTGGGAGCCCCTTTCAACACGTGCAGCTGACCCGGCATAGCTGCAAGCTGCGCTCAGCGCCTGAGTTAAGGGAGAGCTGAGCGTGAGAACAGAGAACAGGGTGGGTGAGGCGAAGGGAAGATGGCGGCCAGTCCGGCAGGGTGGAAGAGGCGGCGTTTGAGAGACGCCAGCACCTTACAGTGAGGAGGGAAGGGCGCCTGGAGAGCAGAGCGGGGCGGGGGGGGGGAGTAAAAATCTCAAGATGAACATTAAATAATTGGAACCACTGTCATTTAATGAGCAGCCACTAAGCATTGCAAATCACGATCTCATTTAAATGTAATGCCTACCGATAAGAAAGTCAAGTAAGCCTTATCCCCATTGTAGAGGTGACAAAACTGAGACTGAAAGACTAACCTAAGCCGCACAGCTAAGAAGTGGATGAGCCAGGATTCAAAGTCAGGTCAGCCTGACTCCAAAACTCGTTTCTTTTCCACTAACGTCCCTTAAGCTAGACACTTCACCACCAGGCTTTGGAGACAGTTGGGTGGGGAGGGGAATACAGACCCACTGGGACCCCCAGATGGGGCTGGTCACTCCCCAAGAAAGCCCAGTCCAATACCTGGGCCTGCTTTGTGCTCTGTCTATGGGTTCTGCCACCAATTCACCCTCCTCCCTCCTTTATAAAATCATTCTTGAGACTTTTTAATGTTTTATTGAGGTGTAAGTTTACGATGACAGCAAACCTTTCAAACTACAGCAAGAGTAACCTGCCTCCTTGGCATATTAAAAAATAATGTCAGTGTCGGTTTTTACGTCCCATAGTTTGGATTGCTGATAAGAGTGCTTCCTTGACAAGATTCTCTTTGAGGTTTACAGAAAGCGTAATAAAATATGTAAGTTACATTTCCACAAACAAAAGCTATAACATAAGTTATTTATAAGCGTGAGATACAAACAGTATCACGATAAATAAACCATAAAGGGTACCTGCAACATCCATCTTAATGTAATTTGCCCAACAAAAGTGTTGAAACGAAGTCAAATTTAGTAGTGAAATCTGTCAGGAAGAAAGGAAAGTTGTAAAACCCCCCCCGCCGCCGGGGTCTCGGTCTGACTCCGCACGGGGCTCCTGGGGCATTCGTTCCCTCACTCATTCACCTTCCACAGCTACAGCAGTGAAGGAGGCAGCCTCTGCCTCCAGAGGGCTGGGGAACAGGGTAAATAAGATCAGTTCCAAAGACAACGAGGCGTGATGAAAACAAGCACGGATAAACGACGGCTGGGGGAGGGCGCTGCTTTAAAGGATGGGCAGAGAGGCAATAGGGGACCTGGGTCCTCAAAGCGGAAAGGCCCCAGTCGTGGGCGGGGCTGGGAGAGACGGATGCTAAACTGAGTGCATGCGAGCTCCTGGACACACTCTGACCCCTTCGTCCTTACCCCTCATCTGACCTTGCAGTGTGCTATTCGGTTTAATACCACAAACTCGTCATGACCCTCCAGTGGGCCCTGGGCCAGCCCTGCAACAGGAACTTGAACGCCACCAACACAGTTCTGCTGTGGAAGCACTCCCGGGCCAGCGCGGGGAGACAGAAGGGAGCCTACCACAGCGGCTCACCCTGCTCCTGTGCGCCTTTCCTAGACTGCCCACTCCTTTCCTATGGCTTAGAATCTTGACTGCCTGCTTCCAGAGGAGACACAGGGGTATGCAGTAACGGGAAAACAGGGGCTTTGTAGTCACGAGACTCCTGGGTTCAAACCCCAGCTCCAGCCCTTCTCCCCACATGCCCCTGGGCAAGGCATGTCATCTGTAAGCCAAATGTTTTATAAGTCCCAGGACAGGGAAGCAAGGGGGAGTTCAACGGTTCCTGAGCAGCACCAGGTGGCTTTTGCCTTCCTCCTGCTGGCAGAGGTCTTTCAGGCCTCCTGAGGAAGGTTCTTCCCCTAGTGATCCCCATTGGTGGGGGGTTGGGGGGTAGGGGGGAAGGCAGTGATGAAGAGCTCAAACTGCATTACTCCCACTATCAGTTGGGGAAACGGAAGCCCAAAGTTGGGATGTGGTCCAGAAAATTTGAATAGGTGCTCAGTAAATACCTGAATAAATGAATGAATGAGAGAATAAGTTTGGGCAGGTGTCTTTAGAGCTTTTCATCATGAGACATAGAAGGGCCGCTAGAAATGCCAACATCCTGCCTCTCATCCCCGAAGCCCCTCTCCCTCCTGTATAACCCCCAGCAAGGCCCCCAGCAGCCCTGTGCCTTCTCCCAGCTTCTCCATCGGGACAAGGAGAGAAGGTACTACATCCTGGGAGTCTTTCTGGCCTCATGAGTCCGGGTCACCAGCTCCCAGTTCTTAGAGATACTCATGTGTGTGTGTGTGTGTGTCCATCTGTCACTGTTCAATTGATAACAGGTAAGAATGGACAGTAAAAAAAAAAAAAATTACAATTTCAGGAACACAAAATACACATCAAACAATATCTGGCCAAAAACAGTGCCCAGAGGAAAATGTCTGGCCCTAGATGTATTTAATAAAAAACAGGGAAGATTGACCAAAGTGAACTAAAATTTCACCTCAACAAACAAAGCAGAAATGAATTAATAAAAATAAAACAAGCCATTCCTGAAGGAGATGACATTTTAAAAAAGGATAATGAAATAAAAGTCTTTTCTTTCAGAAAAATCTATGGCAAACATGATAAAAAAAAACCACAACTGAGTAACACTGAGAATGAAATGCAGAGGACGTTAACACGGATCCAACGTGAGAGCTTCAAAACAGGAGAGAATCTTCCCATAATGTCATTAATATAACAGTGAATTTGAAAACTTGGATGAAATGGGCAATACTCCAGACACCGGCTTCTGAATTTGAGCAGGCATCTGAATCACCTGGAGGGCTTCTTAAACACGGAGTGCTGAACCCCACCCCAGGGTTTTGAATTCAGCAGGTCTGGGCTAGGGTCAAAGAACGCACATTCCTAACAAATTCGCAGGTGATGCTGGTGCTGCAGCAGGTCGGGAAAACAGACTGGGAGAACGGTGTCCCAGGGACTACCACCCCCTCCATTTACTCCTCTTCCTGAGCTGTCTAACAGCTCTCTTCTGTCTTGGTTGAGAATGACAAGGAGTTTGTGCTCAGTGGCCAAAGCACTGGCTGCTATTTGCCTGAGAAGTCTGGGGTCCTAAGCAGTGGGGCACTGCACTGAATGCTTACCCAGAGGAACTCATTCAATCACACAAGATTGGTATGGGTGCTTGACCAGACGAGGAAACTGAGGCACAAAGAGGGTTCCATGAGTCCACAGCTGATAAACAGAGGTGAGGATCCGATTCTTAAGCACTGGGCCACTCACCATGCCCTGGGAACAATGTTGGCCACATCACCCACACCTCCCTAAGTCCATGCCCACATATCTGTGCAGAGTGGACCTTGCTACTCAGTGTAACAGAGGCAGGAAGTGGTGAAGACAGGCCTGGATCCCGGGCTCTGGAAACCAGGAAGGAAGTGGAGCTGCTGGTGTAGAGCCTTCGCTAGCCTCTGAGTCGGTGTGAGTCTCTCTGCAGAGGGTTGTCGTGAGGACTAAATAAATGCCCCCACCCTTGCCTGGCACACACTAAGTTCTCAACTCACAGTTGCTCCACTGTTGCCGTTAAAAGTTATTATTATATAACCACCAGAGTTTCTCATAGGCAATTCCACAGACCTTCTCTCATTTACTTCTCACAGCCACCCTGGGGGTAGCTATTACCCTTTCTGTTTTACAAATAAGGAAAATGAGGTTCCAGGAGAGGCAATGAGAGACCCTATAACCCCCAGCCCCCTCCTCCAATGGCAGAGCCTGAATTAGAAGCAGGAGGTCCCAGGCCCAGAGCAATGGCAACATGCCATCTGAAGGTTCTGGTCTGCAGAGAGAGGTGGAGGAGTGCTTGCCCAGGGCCAGGCATCTTGCTCACCTCACCCCTTTCTGCCTACCTCATTCTCCCCGTCAACACTGGGATTCTGCCAGGCCAAGAGACTTGCCCAAGGTCACAAAGCAGGTGTTAACCCAGGGACCCAGGCCTTAAGATTGTAAGTCCTGAGGCCTCTCGTTTTGGGGGCCAGATTCCCAGAAAGAATCTCCTACTTGCCACCCCCTGCCCTTCCTGGCCCTTTGGGACTGACCCTATGGTAGACAAATACACCTTTCCCTCCAAGATACTGAATCTCCACAAATGAAACAGCAAACAAATAAACAGGAGTGGTAAGAATAATACATCAGCTGTCAGGCTGGGGAACGGATATGGGAGGCAGCCAAGGCTTCTCCTTGCCCACATCAGCCAGGCCCTGACAGTGTGCCCTCTCTACACATCACTCATGGCACACAACCATCCCGCAATTCACACATTCCGTTTTACAAATAAGGAAACCAAAGCCTGAAAATATCGAGTCCCTTGCTCAAGGTCACCCAGCTAGGATGTGACCTGGCCCAAACAGAACACCCTTCTGGCCAATGGAGCGTCCCAGCTCCAACCGCGCTGACAAGACGGGGAGCCCAGGAAGAGGCCCAGCCAAGGGGGCAGCAGTCAGTTCGCACCTAACGATTTTAGAATCAGCAGGTGAAAAACGGTTTGTAAACATCCCCTGGGGAGACAGCTGAGGCTGGCGGGCTTGGGGGGCGCTGACCACCNAGCCCCCCACCCCCACCCCCCTTGGCAAACGACAGTTTGACCAACAGGGCGCCCTCACAGCCCCGCTCGGCTGCAGGGAAGCAGACCCGGCCCGGAGGAGAGGGGAACGTCTGCTAATTGCAGCTTCGTTAGATTTCGGGTTTGGGAGGCTGCGGTTCGGGCGCTAATATCCGCCGCCCATTATGCCGGCTAATAAATTTGACCTATTGTTCGTTTGTTAAAATGATGTCACCTTGGAACAGTCCCTAAGCTCCTATTTCCATGAATTAGGCCTTTATTGAAAGCCAGGAACCAATGGGAGGAGAGAGGCTTGTTGATCGCAGCCAATGGCTGCGGCGGGAGAGGAATTAGCAGCGGAAACTCCAGGTTCGGTTCAAGAAAGATGACACAGAGCCTGTCGGGCCCGCGCACTCTTGGCAAAGTTTCAGTGCGACGAGAGGCGCCGGGCGCTCCATGGCCGCGCCGTAACGGGGACCCAGCCGCCTCCCCGCCCAGCCCAGCCCAGCCCTTCCGCCCGCCCAGGATGGAGGCGTCCGCCAGCGCGCAGACCCCGCACCCGCACGAGCCCATCAGCTTCGGCATCGACCAGATCCTCAACAGCCCGGACCAGGACAGCGCACCAGCCCCGCGGGGCCCCGACGGCGCCAGCTACCTAGGAGGGCCCCCCGGGGGCCGCCCGGGCGCCACATACCCGTCTCTGCCCACCTCCTTTGCCGGCCTCGGCGCGCCCTTCGAGGACGCGGGATCTTACAGTGTCAACCTGAGCCTGGCGCCCGCCGGCGTGATCCGGGTGCCAGCGCACAGGCCGCTGCCCGGAGCCGTGCCGCCGCCTCTGCCTAGCGCGCTTCCTGCCATGCCCTCCGTGCCCACGGTCTCCAGCCTGGGCGGCCTCAATTTCCCCTGGATGGAGAGCAGCCGCCGCTTCGTAAAAGATCGTTTCACAGGTGAGCAGAGTGTCCAAACAGGCGCCGGGCCTCTGCCCTCCCGGGGCCAGAGGCGCCGCGCCCTACGTGCTCCACTCCGGGAAAAGATTTCGGAGGCCCAAGTGAGGTGGAGGCCTCGGTGCCCAGGGCCCCGGGCAACCACAGATGGGAGGAAAATCAGGGAGTTCGGGGAAAATAAGCCTGTGCCCGGGGGAAGTGGGGGGCATCCCCCAAACGGCTTGGTGCTGCTGGGGACGCGCGGAACCAACGAAAATAGCGTAGTATTCTGCGCCTCAGGTGGGGCGGCACGGGGTCCGCATGGGGCCTGAACAGCAGTCGAGCTGGGCTAGGCTTCAGGGGGCCTCGTGTGTCTCCGCAGCGGCGGCGGCGCTCACGCCCTTCACCGTGACCCGGCGCATCGGCCACCCTTACCAGAACAGGACGCCGCCCAAGCGTAAGAAGCCGCGCACGTCCTTTTCTCGGGTGCAGATTTGCGAGCTGGAAAAGCGCTTCCACCGCCAGAAGTACCTGGCTTCGGCCGAGAGGGCGGCGCTCGCTAAGTCCCTCAAAATGACGGACGCGCAGGTCAAGACCTGGTTCCAAAACCGGAGGACCAAGTGGCGGTGAGAGAGGCCCGGCCCGGCCCACCTTGCACCGGCCCATTGCCCGCCTCGTGCCGCAGCCTCGCGTTCCCCCCACCCTGTGCTACCCGCTACCGCCCTCCTGGGGCTGCACCTCTCCCTCCTTCCCAGGTTTTATCTCCCAGCTCGCCCTCGCGTCCGCCTGTCCCCTCTCTCCCGCGCCTCCGGGACTCCTCCTTCCCATTCCTGTGTCGCTTTCCTGAGCCTCACCAGCTCTCTCCCTGTTCTATTCCATCTCCTGCGCTGCTTGGTTTCCGCTCGCCTGCCCACCCCCGCCCCGCCAACACCCCACACTGCCCGGGTCTCTCGCGCTCCCCTAAACCGTCTGGCTTGCCCCCTGTTCTCTCGGATTGTCAACAATCCGCGCGGAGCTCCAGGTTCCGCCTCTAGTTTCCCATCCCGACTTCAGCCCTGTCTTAATCCGATCCCTGTTTCCATCTAACCCGCGAACTGCGAAGCGATCGCCTCCTTCAAGAAGCGTTTGAGACAGCCTGTGAGAAGTGGATGAGGCTGACCCGGCTGGGGGACCCCGCGAGGTGCAGAGCCAGCCCGCCCACCCGCGGACCCCAGTGACTGGCTGCCTGCAGGGCCTAGTCATTTCCACACACGCCCTGCCCTTGTTACCCCGCAAGGAAACAATCTTTGTTGTTGGCGAAGCCACAATACCCGGGTGTGCAAGTGGGCGGCCGGCGGAGTCCCCTCCCAGCGATCTCCCGGCGCATAACAAAAACAAGCGATCCCAACCCACTCCCCGAGCTCGCGGGTGCTTGGCGCACTGCGCGGGCCGGGAGGCGGACGGACTCCGCGCCTCGAGGCTCCCGGCTGGCCTCGGCTCCAGGGCGGGTTAGGGCCCCGCCGGCGGCCCCGCGGCGCCGGGTGCCTGACGGTGCTGTCCCTCTCCCTCCCCCGGTGCAGGCGGCAGACGGCGGAGGAGCGGGAGGCGGAGCGGCAGCAGGCGAGCCGGCTCATGCTGCAGCTGCAACACGACGCCTTCCAAAAGAGCCTCAACGACTCTATCCAGCCCGACCCGCTGTGTCTGCACAACTCGTCGCTCTTTGCGCTGCAGAATCTGCAGCCCTGGGAGGAGGACAGCTCCAAGGTCCCCGCAGTCACCTCTCTGGTGTGAGCCACCAGCGCGCACCGTCGCCAAGCATCTCCGCCCCGACCCGGCGGGGCGCCCCGGGCCCCCAGCCGGGCTGGGGGTGGGGGGTGGGAGTCGTGGCCGAGAGGGAAGGGCCTGCCAAGCTCAAGTAGGCCCCGGGGCGCGGCCGCATCCCCGCCGTCTGCGGAGGGGGCTGGGCCCGGGCTCCGCGCGGCTGGACAATCCGAGCCCCCGCCCCGCGCCCAGTCCCGCCCCAGGCCCGGGCCTGACAAAGAAAGCGCCTTACGTTTCTCCGCCCCTCGCCCGCAGCGCCCCCCGCCCCGGGCCGGGCGCCTGTATTATACTTTGTACTTTTGCCCAAACGTGTACATAATAAAAGTTTTGGCTTTTTTCTTTAGAAGCCGGCCACCTGCTTCCCCCGCGGGGGCCACTGGAGGAGGGGCGGCCGACCAGGCGGCTGGGGGGAAGCGCCAGGGGCTGGGGCACCCTGCGTGGAGGCTGGGTCCACCCTTCTCCTTTTCCGTTCCTTTTATTTAAGTCGTTTTATTTAATAAAAAGTTAGCTATTTCACTTAACGCCGCTTTTATTTCGTTTTCGTTTCCAATAATGCTCGGCGACCCCCGACCCTGCGCCCCACCCCTACGGCAGTAGAGGCCGAGCGGCGGCGTGCGGGCGCGCGCCCACTTCTCCGAGCCTCGTCGGCATTCGCCTCAGCTCGAAGCCTGGCCGGGGGCCCCGCGGAGGATCCGCGGTGCAGGTCAGTGCGCGCCGGCCGCCCGCAGCCCGGGTGCCGGCTGGATGGGTGGACGGGGGAAGGGCACCCTAGGCTCAGAGGTCGCAGAGCAGCGCAGGCAGGGGCGCTGAAAGGCCCCGCCTGGGAGCGTATTTAGGCCATCCCGAGTCTAACCCACCCCAGGGGTGGGCGGCACGGTGACCTCGAACTTCCTAGGACGCGAAACTCGCTCCCCCTCACCCTCCGCCCACACCACAGGCCTCTGTCTTCCTCCAGCGAGGCCCCAGAGAGGCCGGGGCGGGCCGCTCCGACTGGCCCCGGAAGGTCTGGGCGCAGTGTGCGCGGGCTGTGAGCGCAGAGCAGGCGCGCTTCCCGGTTCTCCAAACTCGCGGCGTCTGGGGTGCGAGCGTAGCGCACAACCCCGGGACACCCTCGCCCTTCGGCGTCGCGTGGGGCCGCGGACGGAGCGTGATGTCACGTGACTTCACTGCCGCCCAGGTGTCGTCACTAGGCAGGAGGGGGCGGGGCGCCAGGCAGGCCCGGGACCCCAAGACCAGGTGTGGAAACGGCGTGGCCCAGCCCCCCGGCTTCACCTCGGAAGCTGGAGGTTTCGGGACCACGAGCTCTGGAGCGGGTGGCCCCTTAGGATAACGACACAAACACTCGCAGAGCCGGTGAACACTTCGTCTTGCTGGTTGATTTTTTCCCCCCTCGAATCATTCTCCTTTTCAGCCTTTTAAAAACTTGTTTTACAGACTCTCCATTTCTTTCTTCTACAATGCTGTTTCCTCCTCTATTGGTAGCTCTGAGTCTCTGTCTTCGGGGCTTCCCAGGTGGCTCAGATGATAAAGAATCTGCCTGCAGCTATATATACCCTTTATCCCTTCCTTTACAGTTCTGTTTCTCTATATACTTCCTTCTCTGTTGCATTTATTTTCTCATCTTTGTGGTATTCTCACTTCCTCCCATTTCCGACTCCTCTCTCCATGTCCACCCTCTCTCCTACTTTCCTCTTCTGCGTTTGTCCTTATTGTTTTCCCTTTCTTGTAGCCTCCACCTCTCTCCATCTCCGTCTCTGTCTCTCTCCTTCCCTCCTCCACGTGGGGCTCCCAAGAGCTCCTTCAGGCTAACCCTTCTGGGTGCGGTCCCGCCTGCCGCCGGCCACCCTGACGGCTGGTGTATTCCGGTGCCTTCGTTGTAGGCGGGATGAGGAATTGGCTGCACTGGCAGGCCTCTAGGACAGGGAGGGAGTCTACGGAAGAGCTGGAGCTCATAGCACGTGTGCCCTCACCCCCACCTCCAAGCCCTGGGGATTTAAAGACACCCCAGAGAAGAACTAGGGTGACTCAGAGCTTTGGGTCTGGTCCTTGGGTGTTTTCCTGAAATGCTTCTATTTTCTCCGCTACAAAAGCATAGAGAACGTGCTCATCAGGATAGGAAATGTTGGCTCTTCGGTTGGGAACTTGAATATCTAAAAATCAGAGTGACCTTCTTTGCCTTCGGTGACCAAGCAGCTCCTCCCTCGGGCACTGGTGTCGCGTTCTATTTTCTCTCACTTTTATTCTATTCCTCCCTAACAAGGCTAAATGGTTTTTCTTTCTTCTAAATGATTTTTGTTATTTTGTCAGGGCGACCCTCCATTCTTGGGGCTTTTGGAGGGACGCACACACATCTTTTTCCCCTTCTGATGTCTCACTTTGTGCAAAAGATCTCTGAAGAGGAAGCCCACCAGGTTGGGCTTTTAGGCAGGCCCAGGGACAGGAGCCTAGGCCCGCTGCGACCCTCGGTGGGGAGAAGCGCTTAGAGACAGCAAACGCCACGGAGTCACGGGCCGGGGGGCGGGGAAGAGGGCAGTTTTACCCCCACCAGTGACTCCGTGTTGTTTGCTGTCTCTAAGCGCTTTGTCCCAGTCAAACCTCGTCTAGCCAGAGACCAGTCTGCTACAACTCTCTTCAAGTTAGGGGCTCTGAACCCACTTGTGTGGGGCCGGGTGGCGACTCTCTCCGAGCCGCGCTCAGCCAAGGCAGTGTGGGCGCCCTCGGCGGGCGGCGGGGATCGGTGAGCCGGCTGGGCGTTTAGAGCCCGACGCCCTCCTCTCGCTGTGCCAAGCCTGGAGGCCGCCGCCCTGTCCCGCGGCTGCGCCGGACGAGAGCCGAGAGCGCCGGGTTAAGGAACACTCTCCCAGTCCCCACCCCAGGATGGCCGTGAAGCGGAGCTGGGGCGTGGAGATTTCCGGATCAGGCGGGCGCCCCTGAAGCTGAATTTAGGGGAAAGAGAGTCTGCAGTAGACTGGACTCCTCTCTCTGGATCGTCTCCCAACATCAGGCCCCACCTCGGCCCTAGGAAACGGCCGAGGCTCTAGAGGCAGGCAGGTGAGTGTGGACGTAAGGCAGGCCGACGTCTCCAGACGGAGTGGAGAACAAGCAGCAGCCGGCCTCTGGGCAAGGGCTGAACTTTTCGCCTCCTCGCCCTTCCGCGCGGCCTTCCCTAATCTCGTTTGGNAGGCAGGTGAGTGTGGACGTAAGGCAGGCCGACGTCTCCAGACGGAGTGGAGAACAAGCAGCAGCCGGCCTCTGGGCAAGGGCTGAACTTTTCGCCTCCTCGCCCTTCCGCGCGGCCTTCCCTAATCTCGTTTGGAGATTCTCTGAAGCCGCGCCCATTTTACAGATGCAGGACAGGGAGGCAAGAGGCAGCTTCGCGACCCAGGCGGACTGGCCTCGGGAGCTCTCCCTGAGCGCTGGTTTCTGGGCTCCGCCGGTGGAGGCTGGGCACCCGTCTTCCCTGAGAGGGGCGAGGCGCCCGGCCCAGGGCCTCGGAGTTAGGCCGAAGCTCAGCTCTTTCTGGGAGGCTCCGCGGCCGGGGAGTCCGGGGTTGGGCGATGCAGGGGGGACCCAGGAGGATCGGAGCCAGAGAAAGAGACAAACTGGGGGACTGGCCGTTCGCTTGAGTGATTCCCCTTCAGCAGTTCCCAGCACAAACCTGCCGTGGACCGCGAGCTTTGCAGGCAGCGTGCGGTTTATGATGACTCGCGCCAAGTCTCTGCAAGGTTTGAATGCCCCTCCTCATTTTGCAGTGGAAAATTCAGAAATTAATTCTGAATCACGTATCATGGGTGGACCAGCTTTAATACCACCACCCCGCCGCCCCAGCAAAGCGCTCTAATACTTGGGAGAAAAGGGGGACTTTGCCTAGGGATGCCAGGGAGGAGACTAGGGGACACCTGCAGCCAGCTGACACCAGGCCGGTGGTCAGAGTGAGGCGGAAGGGCCTCCCTGCTCCAGCTTTGGTGGAGGCTCCGAATTCCAAGATCGCCAGAGCCTATCGCTTCCCAGGCTTGCGAGCTTCCCCGCGTTTGCCGTCGGTGCGGGAGCGGGAAGAGCAGCCGCCGCTCCAGCTCATTCGGAGGCCCCACTGCACCCTTGGTCGGGGCAGCCGAGCCCGCCCGCCGCAGCAATTCGTCCAACTTGGGGCCCTTCTCTCGGACTCGCGGCCTAAGGCCGCGCGACCTGGCCCAGGAAGACCCGGCCGCCAGCTGCGCAGTGTCAGCGGCCGGGCCCGAGCTGCAGCAGGCGATGCGCACCTGTTCGCCGTCCGGCTGGGCGCCCCGGGTGAGGAGCGTGGCCTCGGACTGTCCGTCGAGACCTCCCGGGTAAGGAGCCACGGGCCGAGCCTAGTTTCCAGGGCGCTAAAGGGGACCTTCGCCAAAATCCCAGTCTCCGCCTCAGCGCAACTGAAAAGTAAACAAGGCCGGAGAAAGGCCGGCGTGGTGCAAGCGCCCGCTTTCTGGAGAGCGAGGGTTTCTCAACGCCAAAGGCCATTTCCCTTTTACGAAATCTTCGGGCTTGCGGCAGCGGCGAGACTCCCTGGGTTTCCAAGCACCAGCTAGGTTGTGAGCGGCTCGTCTCTGCAAAGCCTAGACCGGTCGCGCACGTTCTTGGTTCAGACGCTCGCAAAGTCCTCCGGGAATCGCCAGTGATCCGCGCCGTCCCTCAGGCCGGTGGCACGAAGCTCTCTGCCCAGTTCTGTCACCCCCTTGCTGTGTGGCCTTGGAGAGTGGCTTTGGTTTCTGCGTCTGTACAATTAGGGCTACACAGTTATTAAAGAGTCTTCCAGGGAAAGCGAAAAAAAATTATGGCTTACTGTAGAGCCGATCTTTAATTGACTGTGAGAATAGAAGCATTTAAAAATGTACTTATGGACGAGAAATCTAATTAAATGCCTAACTGCATAGAGGCTCAATCAGAGGTGTTGCTCTTTGGGAGGAAAGGGCAGGAATGGGGCAGCGTCTCCCATTGAGGTTAGTTCTGCAGTCGCTGGCAGTGGAGAGACACTGGAGAAGTCATCTGGTAAACTGGGCCTGGGTTGATCTGGTTAGAGGCTGCAGTATATGGGTGTTGCCCTGAGATCGGTGGCTGAAATGACTGGACAAAGTTGTTCTTATAAGCGTCAGACTGGCTGCCAATTAATGAATTGCTTATTAAGCCCTTTTAATATGCTTCTAGCTGGGATGGAGAGGAGATAAGGGGCAGGGGACAGAAAACCCATATTCAAACAGAATATTTGTTAGAGGTTTTCACATGGTCCCCCATACCAGTGAATCCCTGGAACAATCTCATGTTCCCATTCTAAATGACAAAGTTGAGGAGCAGAAAAGTCAGCTGACCTGCCAAGGTTCAACCCATGCCTTAAAAGGGCCCGACTCAAACTCCGGGTCTGCTGGCTCAGCTGGCTGTCGGGCCAAACTGAGCTGTGTCCCCACCTGACCACAGAGTGCAGACTGGAAAAGCTCCACCGACCCCGGGCTCATTAGAGAGATTTGTGATGACCCAGACTCACC